ACCCTGCTTCCCTGGGAAGCCAAATCAGCCACAATGCACAAAACGCGCCGTGACACGACGACCCCACACAGCCTGTTCCTTGGGCAAGGGCTTGCAGCCACATCCACGAGTGGAGAATGGGCCAGCAAGGCGCTCCAGCAGGACAGAGCTCTTCCAAAGCTGCCTAATGAGTGGAAAATGAGTGCAGAATACAATTTCCCAAGGAGTTTTCAGATCTTTAATGACTATTCTTTTGACAAAAATAAAAAATTTGAGATGTGAATGCTGCTGGTGCTTTAACGCTGTCCACCGAGAGCCTCCACAACACATTTTAAGGACTCCAGGACAAGCCACAAGCAGCTCCTCGCGCTGGAACGTCCCGTCCGAGCAGGAGCCCGTGCACCCCGGCCGCAGGCGAGTCCCATCTGCAAGGCTCACGCCGGCCTTTTATTCCCCCGCTCAGTGTTATGAACAGACCAGAATAGAACATTGCAGCCCTTCCTGGTAACTGTGCTTATTGCAGAATTTTCTGTTATTTACAGGGGGAAAAAAAAAAAAGAGAGGTTTATGAACTGTTGTGTTTGTCATATGTAACCAAAAGGCAAGGCTGAATCACTGCTGGAAATGAGCCTCCACCACCCTCTGCATCCACGGCAGCACCGGTGCCCGGGCAGGAAGAAGTCACTGCTGCTCCCTCCAGTTCTGCTCCCATCCCTGCTATCCGGATCCGTCTCGGACACTCAGCAGCCCCGTGCACTAATGTGGAGGCTCCCGGGGCCGCGCGCGGGGGGGGGGAGCCGCCGCGCTCGGCGCTCGCGGGCTGCACGGGCTGAGCAAACCCCAGGCAGGGACGAGTGCAGAAGTGGATTACGCGCCTCGCCTCGGATTTGGTTTCTATTTTAAAAATTTTTCTGCGCGCCTGTAGGATTTGAAGGAAATTCTAATCCCGAGCAAACACTGACACATGAAACTGGAGCTTCAGCTAGGAAAAGCGTTCCTGTTTCCCGGTGTGTGATAAAACAGATTCATCGCGCTGCCGCCGCGTCCTCCTGCTGCCAACGCGGGCTCTGCCCAAAGCGCCCGCGAGGCCCGCGAGCAGCTTCAACACGACCCTCTCCTGCTTCTCCTCGGCTCCCCACAGCGGCGCTTTTACCCGGATTCCTGCAATCCGAGACCCAAGGACAATTCCATGACACCTATCCCCGAAATCCACCCCCGGTCACCGCTGCGGACACCAAAGCAGGGCAGCACCGACCTTGTGCCAGGCTGCGTGCAGCACTCAGCGCAACGGGCAGGGGAAGGCTGGAAACGAGGGTTAAACACAGGGCGGTATGCAGAAATCCAGAAAAACAGGCAGTGAATATAATAAATAAACATGGCGAGATGAGACCATGCGAAGGAAAGGTTAATATATAAATAATAGTAATATATACACTTTATATAACAACATATATAGTATAATACATATAGTATACAATATAGTATATTGTATAAATATATATGGGTCTGCTGAGGCTATGGGGATGGTACCTGAGCTCAGGAGACACCCCTGTGCCCACGGTCGCTATAGCCACCTGCAAGGGGCTCCCTGAGCTTGGCGCTGGTTTGCCACACTGGCCGCAAAACCCTCCTATTTTACAGCTGCAATAAAACCATGTTTTGCATTAGTCAGCTATGAAGTCACAGCATGAAGCGTGACTGCTTTTACTGGAAGGGAATTCGAGTTAAATGGAGAGTTAAGACGTTACAGGCAAACCAAATATTATTTTACGGCTGCACCTGAGTTAAAGCCACCATTCAGTCCAAGCCAAGGGACAAGAATTCATATTATTTACTGTTTTGCTATTTAAGCTAATATGTTTGTGGGAAGAAAACGACCTTGCATGACTCTTTGGACTTGATTTAAGGTTGGGAGGGAAGTACAGGACTACTTAGTTTCATCTGAGTTGTTTCCCAATTTTGGAGATTCATTTGAAAAAATGCTCATTACAACCGGAAGTTTTTGCATTAACATTCAAGTTTTGAAGTTCTGTACTGCCTTCCCCCCTCCCCACCATAAAGTCAGAGCTTAGCAGAAAAATAAAATCAAAACATTTTAGGCAGTGACGGTATCTAGGGGAGGGCCACATTTTAGTCCCTTGCTTCTCCCCTCCTTCTCCCTCCACAGTTATGTCCCTCATTACACACCGAGCCCTCCTGGCTCCGTAGCTTTGGGACGGGTGGAGAAAGCGTCGCCTTCGTGGCGAGGAGAAAATGAGTAAATGGAGGAAGCAGGAGGGCCGTGACGCCCAGGAGCCGCTCACTGTCACACTTGGGGACCTCAGCTTTAGGCTCTGGCTTCTGCAATCCCCTTGGGGCTCCGCAGGGATGAGGACAGGGCCCATGTGGGTGCCCTGCGCTCGCTGCAGCTCCGGTCGCTCTTGCAGACGTCCCAGGCTACCCCAGCGCGCGGCCCGATTGGGCACCGGGCACGTCCGCGTGTCCAGGGGGATCGCGCACCCCTCGGGACCGCACGTCCGTGTGTCCATCGGGATCGCAGGTCCATGTGTCCATTGGGATCGCGCACCCATCGGGACCGCACGTCCGTGTGTCCATCAGGATCGCACGTCCGTGTGTCCATTGGGATCGCGCACCCATCGGGACCGCACGTCCGTGTGTCCATCAGGATCGCACGTCCATGTGTCCATTGGGATCGCGCACCCATCGGGACCGCACGTCCGTGTGTCCATCAGGATCGCACGTCCGTGTGTCCATTGGGATCGCGCACCCATCGGGATCGCGTGTCCATGTGTCCATCGGGATCACACACCCACGTGTCCATCGCCATTCCGGACACTCCCTGCTCCCTCCAAGCGCAGCAGGAAGGCGGCAGCAGCCCCGGGGGCCCGAAAACACGCGGTTTTCCTTGGACACAGGCATCGCCCTGCAGTATTTTTAAACGTGCATTGGTGCCCTTCAGCTTCCCACGGAGTTTACGCACCAAAATAAATAAAGTTCTGCCCGGCTGCCCTCCAGGCTGCCTGGAAGCACCCAAATAGACCAGAAACACCACACGCTTTCCTTTAAAGTCACACACAGTCAAGAATTCTAAGCATAAAGTATTTCCACTATATGAAAAAATCTAGCATTCACTTATACACATATATCTGTGTGTGCATATGCGTGTGTGTATGTTTTTAGATACTTACATACACACACATATGCATATGCACACACAGACATTTACATAATGGGGATGAAATTTAGCATTCATTTATATAAATGTATGTACATATAAATATACACACACATATATATGTGTGTATATATATACTGCATTATAGAGAAGAAATCTCATGTTCATTTATATAAATATATATATGTACACATACATAGACACATGGATACATATGTAGCCATGACACATATGGATACATGTATGTATACATATACATACATGTGCATATGTACACATATACACACATGTATATATATATAGGAGGACTGCCTCATATACAGACGATGGACGAGGAGGAAGAAGAGGAAGAGGAGGCAGAGACATGACCGGGAGAGCCTGGGGAAGGTGCCCAGGGTGCAGATCCAACCCAAGGGGCGCACGGGGAGCGGGCAGGAGGCCGCGGAGCGGGGGCTCGCGGGGACGGGCACCCACCTTGAGCAGCTTGCAGCGGATCTGCGCCGAGACCATGTGGCTGTTGCGCAGGTTGCCCACGCGGAACATGAGGGTGAGCTTGCCGTCGCGCATGGAGATGGCGGCGTGCTCGCTGAACATGAGCGTCTCGGCCCGCTTCTTGGGCTGCGACATCTTGATGAACATGCAGCCGATGAGGAAGGCGTCCACGATGGAGCCCAGGATGGACTGGAAGAGGAAGAGGATGATGCCCTCGGGGCACTTGTCCGTGATGTAGCGGTAGCCATAGCCGATGGGGGGCTCGGGCCCCGTGGAGGA